TAAGACGAGTCTAGACGATGCCCGGTGGAAGTTCGGATGCTGTCTGGTACCCGACTTGTCGGGGGGGTTCGATCCCAGACATTGCCGATCGCGGTGGAGGCCGGATCGATGCTCCTAAATGGGATGCCGTCCGGTACCCAACTTGTCGGGGGGGGTTCGATCCCGGACGTTGCCACGCCCAAAGTAGTGGGGTGATGCCTGGCTATGCCGGAAGACCGGCGGGAGTTCGGTGTGACCTATGGTGGGTCGTTAATAATCTGGACAACTTCGAGTGTTATGTGCATATGGTATGCTTTGAGCTTTATTATAGGATAAAATCGTGAGGCACGGTATGGGACGGGTCGAAGTGATTTCATCTTATAATCGAGACTCGTGTGAATGATTGATTATGTCTGGATTATTATTATTGATGTTATGCATATTGATAGTTGCCATGGTTGTGATACAAATTGAGACTTGCATAGTATGTGGTACCATTGTCCGTTGGATAGGAACTTACCCTTTTGGTTAGAATGGCATGATTAGGGTGCCGGAGGTACGTATTGCCCTAGTCGAGGCTTAGGCAGTTTACTTATTGAGATTTTATCTCATTCCCGTTGTTAAACATTTTCAGACCCTCGACCTTGATTATGACTGAGCCTCCGCTTCGTTTCGGGGTACCAACGGAGATGGAGCATTGGGTGACTGAGTACCCAGTAGGTGAGGGTAGGGAGTATCGGAAGTATGAGAGCACGGTTTGGGTCGACGATGGGGAGCAGTACTTGACAGCTCATAAGTACATGGCTTGGTTTCTGAGAGACGGAGCTCAGAATATTGGTCCTCTCGAGGGGTTTGATGTTCCCCATGACGATGGTTTAGGATTATGGGATCTTATGGAGATTGATCCCCCTGACGGAACTGTAGTTAATCCGGAGCCAGAACCGATGGTGACAGAGCCTCCAGCGTGGGTCGAGTGGCCAGAACCTGAATGGGAGTCCTTGCCGTCCGGCTCTTATAGTGAGGCATATGACCTGGCTTCGCCAGGAGCACCGCCAGGATGTTGTGGAGGTTTTTGATAGGGTTAGAGATCCCTATCTTTTTGGGAGCTCCTCTTTTGAATAGAGTAGTGGAGCAGATCGACCACCCTATCCCTTTTTGAGTATGCGTGGTCTGGGTTTGTGGCCTTTAGGAAGGCTTGTATATTCTATCGTTGTATGTGATGTTAAGTTTATAAAATAGTTTGTTGGTTTGTTTAAATTCTCTCTCTGTTATCCCGTTTGAATGTTTGTTGAATGGAGTGTTCGTTTGGCTTCCGCGTATTTTCTCTTATTTCGATGGTAACGGGTCGGCGACGAATCCTGGGAGTCGCATTCTTAACGACCGCGGCGGGATGTTACGTGTTCGTAGGGTACGGGGCGTGACATGAAACCCCACTGCAATGTTCTTAAATAGAGCCAAACACATACTTAGGATACCTTAATGATAGATAGTAGGGGTGAGCAATTGGACTGGCTCAACCAGAGAATCGAACTGAACGAGCCTTACTCGGCCGATTATCAATGGCTGAGATTCAATACCAAAGATCAATGATTTAGAACCTTATCAAAGACATAAACCCCGAGGAAGAAAGAGGAGATGGATTTGGACTATGGAGCTCGGTAACATAAGTTTAGTTTAGGCCTTAACTAAACACTAGTCAATTCCTTGGGTATAGAAACGGATGCTTTTCTGCATTATTGTGCATTAAAGGGTTAATGGACTCGCTCTGAAAGATTAAGAGCGGAAAAGAAATTAATAATACTTTCACGGAAATCAAAACTTAGATAAGTTGACCAAATAAATTTCAGCATCCTCTTCACCTCAGAAGTTTTAACTAATTACCTACAATTTTTTGCAGTACCAAAAACATCATGTTATCAGTCAACATTAAATGAAAAAACATTATTAAAAAGCTCTCAGGTACTTTTGGAAGAGAACTGACAGAAGAGAGTGATGTAAGAAGAAACATGATATACAAAATGAAGAGTCGCACCTTCGGGGACTATCGTGGTGAGCAGCTCGGACTTAGCTGAGAACAAGGTAAATGTGATTAACCCTCAATCCTCGACTGGGTTAATGTATCTTTGGAGCACTCTTATCGAATATTATTACGCAACAAGAGGAGTTCTCTTTATATTTGACTACTATGAAATGAACATGACCAATGGAGTAATGCTCCATGAATATGCACTGCCCTTTTTCACGGTGAAACCATGTCGTTGTTTATCTTTTCTAGTTCTATAGTCCAGGTTGAACCACCCGGAACCTTGAGAAGCACCAAGTTTGAGAGATCATTTCCACATCTTCTCAAGAAACTACCATAAACCCTAAACCCTGTTAAGAAAAAAAATCAAAGTTACAAGTCCATGACAATGACTCATCATGGTCAAACCGAAAGTGCAAAGAAAAAGGAAGTAAACTAAGAAATTGTAAATTCTGTGACATGGATGAAGAATCAGTTTCCACAAGCAGTGTGCTTCAGTATAAGTGTGGCTGACTTTTAGTGATAGTTGCTTCATTTGACAAGAGCAAAACTAGAGAGTCCAAAAAACAAAAACAAAAAAACGTTTGCACTATGATTATTGAAGTGATGATGTAGCACAGCTTATTACTTTTGGCATGAGCTATAAGACCGTAGGATTTGGAAGGAGAAAATTGTCATGCCAAATCCAACAGTTGACATCAATTTATGTTACACCCATGCTCGAGATGTTTTGTCATCCGACAGTTGACATTAATTTTCTTTCATCCGACAGCTAAGATCATGCACTATAACTTCGCCGTCCAAAGAAGCACAGTATCGCCGAAAAGCCCGACATTATATTATATAAATTGTGAAAGCCACGAAAAATCTCAAACTATATCCACAGTGACACATTATACCGAACTTATTTTGTGACACTAAAAACCTCAAACGTGTTGAATTGGGACCGGCAGTCTTCAATCGGCCGGGTTTTCCCAAGCCCTTACCTTGTGCAACGTTGAGATTTTTATTTTAGTTAGATTTAAGCTAAAAGGATTCCATGTGAATGAGTCACCACTAGCCTATTAAGTTTGGTTAGAAAACAAGTGAAGTGCAGGAGGTTACCTCACTTCCTACGCAACCAGTGATCTAGGGTCGAGGACTTGATAATACTAGTTATTCATTAATGCCCTTTTGATACATAAACTTGTTTATTTATCAATTTAAGTGTCCACACAATCTTTTTACCAAATTATGAACCTAAAATTCTCATCCACTAAGTATCATGCAATGTTTTTGTGTTGATTATGATCCTAAAAAGGTAACCTAACCATTTAACTTAAACAAGAAAATCATGACACAAAAGCGATATAAAAGAATCACAACCAATTTTTCAAAAATAGTACTAAAAGAGCAATTAAAAGATAAGAGTGCACTAAATTAATCTAGTACGAGTGGGTCAAAAATATAATATGACCTTGCTTTTAAGCCCCAAGACAACAACTCCATGAGCCAAGTTAAAATTGAGTCCAATTTCTTATCTAGAAGATCAATCTACTAAAACTACGCTATATCGGAGGTGTTCACTAAAACGTCTAAACTATATGCACTAACTAAAATGAAGCTAATTTAAATCTAATGCTAAAACTTAGTAAACTAATCAAGGTCTCTAATTCTAACCATTTTTTTATTTTTTTTATTTATGTTTTTCCTTTTACTCCTGCAATCTATGCTGCAATTCTAATTCTCTCTCCTATTTTTTGTTATCTGATATAATAATTTTTATTTATTACCTGCAAATTCCTTTCTTTTTCTCTAAAGTAGAGCATGGGCCGAAATCTTGGGCCCGATCTAATGTGGACTGTACCCGGCCGCATGATCCTTAGGTGCTATTGGGCTCATCAGATTAGCCCTTTCTCATTATGAACAAGTTAGGCCCCTTTCTATTATTCTCTCCATTTTGTTTACTTCTTTCATTTTTCCCAGAACTCGACGAGTTCTTCAATGCACCAGATTTTAATCATATCAACAACATGAACTTCAGAGCTACCATTAAAGATCAAATATACCAAAACCTCAAATTATGAACATTGTATACTTCACCCTCAGCCACACTACATTCGTCATTGGACCTCCGCCGTCGGCGACCGCCCATCCTCAACTATGACTCCACAACGATGCATAGCACACAAAAATGGAACATACCCAGTAAAGTCAGTCATCGTAAGAAATCAGTGTCCATCAAGAGTCTCCGGTTCATTTCCTCGCCAGTATTTCACCATCAGAACAATGCACAAAACAAAACTGACACAAGAGTTACTCTGGGTCTTAGATTCAAATTTCACGAAATAATAGTAGTATAAATGAATTGAAGGATGCTATTGTGGTTTGAACGTGTGTAGATGCATTTGCATCTGCAGATTGAAGCAGCTTTTCCTCAAAAGATATTTCACAACTTCGTTGGAGCATTTTCACAAATAGTTGACTAGCATTTCCATGGAGAAGCTCAACTGCAACGAGTCTCGCCCCGATCAGGATCTCAAACTCAAACCTTGAATTTTCGAACTTTAACCATCGGAAAAATTTAGGTATCAACAACAATTAAAATCAATCCTTAAATTCTCAGCACAGTGCACAAAAATCAGTACATTCACGTGGATCAAATAAGGCTTCGATAGAGTGGTGGCGCGTGGCCTCCAATTCAAAATAACTTTTGAGTTGGAGACATAATTCAATCAGAAATCTGCTAAGTACGATCAAGCACTTAGCCATACAACTTTCTCACAAATATTTTATTTTTCATTTGGCCATAAAAAGTAAATGCAGGGACTGCTTTCTTTGTATTTTCACTTTTTAGCAAAAGGTTTGGTTAAACACAAAATGCTAGGACGTTAAAAATACATATGAAACCCTTTAGGGCAGTTGAGCAACCAGAAACCTTAAAGAAGCGCCAAATCTGAGGGATATTTGCCAAAATGGAAATATAGAACCAGAACTAGCACCAAGAAACTAGAAAACATGAACAGAAAAGAGTCTCCTTTGCATCGATTCGCCACAGCTGAATAAAGGAGGCATAATTAGGATCTCGATTTCATATCGACGCCTCGAACAGTCTAGACCAACACGTCCGATGAACACCTCAATCAATGTGAATCTGACCCTTACCACCACTACCGAAGATGGAGACTTTGAACACAACATCATCCTTATCAATGAGCTCAAACACGCAGGTATTTCCTACACACATACGAATTTCTCTTGCAAATGCAGGCCAACCAGCAGAAAAGAACACTCGGGTTTCCTTCGTATATCTTGAGAGATTCACCAGCCACGATCTGTCTGAATACCTAAGAGTTACCTTTCTCTTGTTTTTTTGAATATGTTGCTCGGCGAATTGACCGGGAACATGCTGCACATGAGTAGACATTTGAACAACCAATGTATGCCGAGAGAAGGACAATAATGTAAGCATGCGCTCTTGGAAAGAAAGCATACGAGGCCAGCTTTAGCCAACAGTCTTAAGAGGCTTGTGAAAGCCATCGATCTTAACCCGCAATGCAAAGCATTTTCAAACAAATTACTGCCATTAATTGCCATTTTAGGTTAGTACTCAATTCAAGTGACTGTCCATCCTTTCACTCAGATAGTCATGGAGCAGCTTGTCAAGGATATCCAAGTGCATGGATAGTCCCAACCTAATTACAGTCTTTACTGCTGTTTTTTCTTCTTTTTTTCCTGATTCCGCGTTACTCCACCATTGGGATGCCCCACAATCACTCCAAGAAATATAGCATGTCATATGGTTCCCAATACAAACCAAATCAACCAAGGAAAACACAATATTGAGGCAAGATTAGATAGAGATCATAACCAAACTTGAAATATGGCATTGATGGATTAGGCTCAAGATTGTACCAATTTATTAAAATGAGACTGATGTATCACCAGTTTGAAGAAGGGATGCTCCGAATCAAATTTGCTGGCTAATTCAGGAGTAGTGAGAGGCCTCGAAGGAGTAGGATCACAAAATACTGGCTCTGAATGTTTCATTCTGCATTTAGACTGTTTGTTCCTGCCTGGAATTAAAATGAGAACTTTAAGAGACATTATTGGTGTGAATGTTTCTTTGATTAACTATGAAGATCTTTAGCATAGAAGTCATGTCATGCCATAACCAGCCAAAAGTTTCACTTCAAATAACGTAAATCAAAATTCTACCTGCACTGCCAAAAATGTAGACTCTGAACACAATATCATCTCTATCAATTAGCTCGAACACGCAGACATTTCCTACACGCAAGCCAGTTCCTCTCACAAATGCAATCCAACCAGAAGAGAACTGCATCAACCCACTTGGATAGCTCCTAAGCTTCACAGGCCATGTTCTACTTGAATGCCTGAGCGTCACGATTTCCTTGATTTCCTGAATGTGCTGCGTGATGAACCCACGAGGAACATTCTGCCCACACACAATTTTGAACAACCGGTGATTTACAAAGAAAGACTGGGGAAGCATTCTCTTATTCACGCAAGCAAGCAAAATGTAGATTGACACGGTAGTTTTAGTAACTCTCATCAACAGTCTTAACTGGACAAAAGTCAAGATGTCAAAGTCTCTGCTCTTAGAATTGGCATGAGGGGTAGAGGATCTTTGCCTTTTTAAACAAATAGGAATGAACAGATCCAAGGAAAACGCTATGTAGTTTCCTACAGAAATCCTACCAGCTTAGGAAAAAAGTCAAAATAGTAGTTCTCAATCTTACCACTACATGATGTCCAGTATAAGATGGCCGGATCACCACCTTGAAAAAAGGATACTCTGAGTCAAATTCGCTGGCCAATTCAAAATTACGGAGAGGCCACGAACTCATAGGACCACCAAAATTCGGCTCAGGATGGCTAGCTCTGCATCTAGACCGTCCAATCCCTTCTGTTCTTTAAAAAAAAATGAAATGTTTATATGACGCCAGTTTGAAGTTTTCATTAGTTGATTTACTTACCATGAAAAGATTTAGCGCAGAATGGAAGTTAACACTGTCATTAAAATCAAGATTTAGATAAGTTGACCAAATGAAAAATTCGCTTCCTTCACCTTAGAAGTTGTAACTACTTAACCACAATAAGCATTACCGAAACCATTATGCTATCAGTCAACATTAACAAGCTTATCAAAAAGTTCTCAAGTACTTGAAAAAGATCTAGCAAAGGAGAGAGCGATGTAAGAAGAAACTTGACTTATAAAATGACAAGTCACACCTTCGAGATCTTGTGATGAGCAGCTTGGACTTGGCTGAGAACATGGTGAATGTGGTTTGACCCTCGATTTTTTACGAGGAGCGAAATCTTCCAAATCTTCAGCTTCAACGACATCCTCCCTCTTCGGCGAGATAAATCCACTCCTAAGGTTCGATATGCTGCTCAACAAATAATCGATCTCCGAAGCACTCTTATCGAATATTATCACACGAAAAGTGGAGTTCCCTTTGTATTTGAAAACTACGAGGTGACCGTGACCAATGGAGTAATGCTGCATAAATTCTCGCCACCCTTTCCACAACCAAACCGTGCCGTTGTTACCCTTTTCTACTCCTATAGTCCAGGTCGAACTGCCCGGAACCTTGAGTAGCACCAAGCTTGAGAGATCCATTCCATATCTTCCTAAGAATTTTTTCGGAATTCCCTATCGAGAAAAACCCAAAAGTCAATAGGTCCAGGACTCGAATTCATCAAAATTAGATCGAAAGTGCAGGGAAAAAACGAAGAGCAATGAGCAATTTTGAGCTCTGCAACATGGCGATGAAAGATCGGTTTGCACACAAGCAGGGTGTCACTGGGCAAGTAAGGATCGAGTGTTAGTTATAGTTGCTTCATTTGACGAGAGTAAAGCTAGAGAGACGACCCAACACCTTTGTCCACACTATCCTTAGCCAACCAATACTCAATCTCAAGTAAAAGAACTGATTTTTATCTAGAATAATTCAAACTAAACACATTTTTCTTCAGGGTTTTCTTTTTTGTGTTTATACAAAGCGAAAAGCATGGAAAGTTTTCCAGATTGAATGTACACAGCACGAGGGCGATAGCTCTAAACCATGACAGAAACTCTCGTGACACCGGAGCTGCATCACATGAAACAGACTGCGAAAATGCGGAACTTACGAGCTTCCCAGATTCGAGGGTGTCGGAGAGAACGATCTTGAAGAAGTGAGGACTCTCGAGACGAGGCCCAGTCGCCATCTCTGGCTTGACGGCTCCATCTCCTCTCCGGCGACGGCGACCGCAAGCCATGTACGGTGGTGTCACAGGGGTCACCGGAGGCGGAGGAGGAGGTGGTGGAGGCGGCGGTTCATGCGATTTGCCTTTGTGTTCTTGAGGCAACCTTCACATAAAAGAACTTTGACCGTGATTAATAATGTTACTGATGATATGCTAAAACTCTCAAACTCTATAATTTTTTGGTTAAAAAATTAGGCACAATTTTCTGTACCACAAACAGAAAAGTCCAAACATCAATACTTAATGAACGAGGCATATGGTTAAATTTTAACCAAATATAGCCTCCATTACTCTATTTCCATGAACAGGAGATTCTCTAACTGGTTTTTTGGAAATTGATAAGTCATAAACGCGAATGATTTCCATGTTTGTGAAGGCGTGGTTGAAGGACTTCCTCCAGCTAGAAATGAAGGAAAACGTGACCCCGAGACGACGGACAAGGCATTCTTCGGGGCCTACTTTTGTTCTCCAAGCTATATAGATGGCATGAGCAAAAGATCGTTTCAGTAATGTTCCCCTGTTTTTCTTCTAACCCACAAGTGAATATGTTCAGAAATGTTCTGGTTCAAGTAGATCATTTCGTGACATTTGGTTACTAATTTTTTTTTCCCGCGATTAATGCTATTAAGCTCGTTAGATAACTCGGATTAGTTTCGACCTAAAAGATTCAATTAAGCTAGACATTGACTTGTCTAATACGTTAAAAAGAGGCTGCTTAATTCATTCCATAGAAAAAATAATCGATGATAATTAGAATCTATTCAACTATATGGTTAGTACCTATCAATTATGGTCGCGATTCTATGTTTGGAAAGAAACTATAGATATTTAGCGATTGCCAAACTTTTTTATCTATTTTTACACTTGGGATTGTAAACACTCAAAACTAAGATCTTAAATTCTCAACACCAATTTCTCAATTTTGTCGGATAGGCCTAAATGCACACGATTGGGGCATCCATGTGGATCGAATAAGGCTCCTCCTCCGATAGAGTGGTGGCGTGGCCAACAATTTGAGATTACTTTGAATTGGAAACAGGATCTGATCAAGAACCCGACACGTACAATCAAGCACTTACCTGTGCAACTTTCTCAAATTTTTTTTTTTCATTTAGCCATAGAGCAATACAAATATACTGTTAAAAGGCAAGGAATGCAAAAAGTTAACGCATGGACCCTTCGGTCTAACACAAGATGTTAAGGAAGTACATATGAACCCTTGAGGTCAGTTGAGCAACCAGAAACCTTAAAGAAGCGCCAAGTCTGAGGGATTCTTCCCAAATTATGGAACTACAGAACCGAAACTACCACCAAAAAACAAGAAAACATGAACAAAAAAGAGTCGACTTTTCATCGATCTGCCATTGCTGCATGAAGGAGGTATAATTTGGCATCCCGGATTTATATCGATGCTGCGAACAGCATTATCTGAAGATGGAGACTTTGAACACATTATCTTCCCAATCAATGAGCTCAAACGTGCAGGCATTTCCGACACGCAAATGAGTTTCTCTTGCAAATGCAGTCCAACCAGCAGAGAACAACGCTCCCTTTTTATTCTTACATGTTAAGAGCTTCACCGGCCACGATCTGTCTGAATACCTAAGAGTTGCCGTTCCCTTGTTTTCTTGAATATGTTGCCTGATGAATCGATCGGGAACACCCTGCAAATGCGTACATGTTTGAACAACCAATCTATGCTGAAAGAAGGACAATGATGTAAGCATACACTCTTGGAAAAAACGCACCCAGGGCCATATTTGCGAGTTTCAGAAGCTTTAATCGACCGTCTTAAGAGGCTCATTAAAGCAGTCGATCTTAACCAACAATGTAATGCATTTTCAAACAAATGACTGCCCATCAATTGCCATTTTAGGTTAGTAGTCGATTCAAGTGACCGTCCATCCTTTATATTGGATAGGGATGGAGCAGCTTGCCAAGGATATCCAAGTGAATGGATAATCCCGACCTAATTACCATCTTTCACTTGTGTTTTTCCTACTCCTCTTTTTCCCGACTCCGTGTTACTCCACCATTGGGATGCGACATGATCACTCGAAGAAAAATATCATGTCATACGGTTTCCAATAGAAACCAAATCAACCAGGGAAAACACAATATTGAGGCAAGATTCAGATAGCAATCGTAATCGAAATTGAGATTGGGCAATGATGGATTAGGCTCAAAGATTGTACCAGTTTTTTCAAATGACCCTGCCGTATCACCAGTTTGAAGAAAGGATGCTCCGAATCAAATTCTCTGGCTAATTCAGGAGTAGCAAGAGGCCTCGGAGGAGCAGGATCATGAAATACCGGCTCAAGATTGTTCACTCTGCATTTAGACCGTTTGTACCTGCCTGGAGTTAAAATGAGAAATTTAAGAGACATTATTGGAGGGAACGTTTCTTTAATTGACTGTGAAGATCTTTAGCATAGAACTCATGTCATGCCATAATTAGCCTAAGGTTTCACTTCACACAACGTAGATCAAGTACCTAACTGCACTACTGAAAATGTAGACTCTGAACACAACATCATCCCTATCAATTAGCTCGAACACGCAGACATTTCCTACATGCAAGCGAGTTCCTCTCACAAATGCATCCCAGCCAGTATTTCACTATGAGAACAATGCACAAAACAAAACGACACCAGAGTTACTCGCAGTTTTAGATTCAAATTTCACGAAATAAAAGTAGTATAAATGATTTGAAGATGCTGTTGTGGTTTGAACGTGTGTAGATGCATCTGCGTCTACAGATTCCAGCAGCTTTTCCTCAAAAAATATTTCACAACTTCGTTGGAGCATTTTCACATATAGTTTAATAGCATTTCAATGGAGAAGCTCAACTACAACGAGTCTAGCCACAATCGGGATGTCAAATCTTGAATTTTCCAACTTTAACCATTGGAAAAATTCAGGTATCAACAACAATTAAAATCAATTCTTAAATTCTCAGCATAGTGCTCAAAAATCGGCACATTCATGTAGATCAAATAAGGCTTCGATAGAGTGGCGGGGCATGGCCTCCAAGTCAAAATAACTTCCAGTTGGAGACATAATTCGATCAGAAATCTGCAAAGTACAATCAAGCACTTAGCCATACAACTTTCTCACGAATATTTTTCATTTAGCCATAAAAGTAAACGCATGGACTGCTTTCTTTGTATTTTCACTTTCTTGCAAAAGGTTTGGTTAAACACAAAATGCTACGACGTCAAGAAAATACATATTAAACCCTTTAGGACAGTTGAGCAACCAGAAACCTTAAAGAAGGGCCAAATCTGAGGGATTCTTGCCAAAATGGAAATATAGAACTAGAACTAGCACCAAGAAACAAGAAAACATGAACAGAAAAGAGACTCCTTTGCATCGATTCGCCACAGCTGAATAAAGGAGGCATAATTAGGATCTTGAATTCATATCGATGCCTTGAACAGTCTAGACTAACACGTCCGATGAACACCTCAATCAATGTGAATCTGATCCTTACCACCACTACTGAAGATGGAGACTTTGAACACAACATCATCCCTATCAATGAGCTCAAACACGCAGGCATTTCCTACACGCATATGAGTTTCTCTTGCAAATGCAGGCCAACCAGCAGAAAAGAACACTCGGGTTCCCTGCGTATATCTTGAGAGATTCACCGGCCACGATCTTTCTGAATACCTAAGAGTTCCCTTTCTCTTGTTTTTTTGAATATGTTGCTCGGCGAATTGACCGGGAACATGCTGCACATGAGTAGACATTTGAACAACCAATGTATGCCGAGAGAAGGACAAAAATGTAAGCATGCGCTCTTGGAAAGAAAGCATACAAGGCCAGCTTTACTCAACAGTCTTAAGAGGCTCGTGAAAGCCATCGATCTCAACCCGCATTGTAAAGCATTTTCAAACAAATTACTGCCATTAATTGCCATTTTAGGTTAGTACTCAATTCAAGTGACTGTCCATCCTTTCACTCAGATAGTGATGGAGCAACTTGTCAAGGATATCCGAGTGAATGGATAGTCCCAACCTAATTACAGTCTTTACTGTTGTTTTTTCTTCTTTTTTTCCTGATTACGCATTACTCCACCATTGGGATGCCCCACAATCACTCCAAGAAATACAGCATGTCATATGGTTCCCAATACAAACCAAATCAACCAACGAAAACACAATATTGAGGCAAGATTAGATAGAGATCATAATCGAACTTGAGATATGGCATTGATGGATTAGGCTCAAGATTGTACCAATTTTTTAAAATGACACTGACGTATCACCAGTTTGAAGAAGGGATGCTCCGAATCAAATTTGCTGGCTAATTCAGGAGTAGGGAGAGGCCTCGAAGCAGTGGGATCATAAAACACTGGCTCCAAATGGTTCATTCTGCATTTAGACTGTTTTTTCCTGCCTGGAATTAAAATGAGAACTTTAAGAGACATTATTGGTGTGAATGTTTCTTTGATTAACTATGAAGATCTATAGCATAGAAGTCATGTCATGCCATGACCAGCCTAAAGTTTCACTTCAAATAACGTAAATCAAGATTCTACCTGCGCTGCTGAAAATGTAGACTCTGAACACAATATCATCTCTATCGATTAGCTCGAACACGCAGACATTTCCTGCATGCAAGCCAGTTCCTCTCACAAATGCAATCCAACCAGAAGAGAACTGCATCAACCCACTTGGATAGCTCCTAAGCTTCACAGGCCATGTTCTATTTGAATGCCTGAGAGTCACGATTTCCTTGATTTCCTGAATGTGCTGCGTGATGAACCCACGAGGAACATTCTGCCCACACACAATTTTGAACAACCGGTGATTTATAAAGAAAGACTGGGGAAGCATTCCCTTATTCACGCAAGCAAGCAAAATGTAGATTGACACGGTAGTTTTAGTAACTCCCATCAACAGTCTTAACAGGACAAAAGTCAAGATGTCAAAGTCTCTGCTCTTAGAATTGGCATGAGGGGTATACGATGTTTTCCTTTTTAAACAAATAGGAATGAACAGATCCAAGGAAAATGCTATGTAGTTTCCTACAGAAATCCTACCAGCTTAGGAAAAAAGTCAAAATAGTAGTGAATTAAACTCTCAATCTTACCACTACATGATGTCCATTATAAGATGGCCGGATCACCACCTTGAAAAAAGGATACTCTGAGTCAAATTCGCTGGCCAATTCAAAACTACGGAGAGGCCACGAACTCATAGGACCACCAAAATTCGGCTCAGGATGGCTAGCTCTGCATCTAGACCGTCCGATCCCTTCTGTTCTTTAAACAAAATGAAATTTTATATGACGCCAGTTTGAAGTTTTCATTATTTGATTTACTTACCATGAAAAAATTTAGCGCAGAATGGAAGTTAAAATACTGTCATGGAAATCAAGATTTAGAAAAGCAGTCAACATTAACAAGCTTATCAAAAAGTTCTCAAGTACTTGAAGAAGATCTAACAAAGGAGAGAGCGAAGTAAGAAGAAACTTTATAAAATGACAAGTCACACCTTCGAGATCTTGTGATGAGCAGCTTGGACTCGGCTGAGAACATGGTGAATGTGGTTTGACCCTCATTTTTTGACAAGGAGCAAAATCCTCTGAATCTTCAACTTCTACAATATCCTCCCTCTTCGGCGATATAAATCCACTCCTGAGGTTTGATATGCTGCTCAACGAATAATTGATCTCCGAAGCACTCTTATCGAATATTATTACGCGAAAAGCAGAGTTCCCTTTATATTTGAAAACTACGAGGTGACCGTGACCAATGGAGTAATGCTGCATAAATTCTCGCCACCCTTTCCACAACCAAACCGTGCCATTGTTACTCTTTGCTACTCCTATAGTCCAGGTCGAACTGCCTGGAACCTTGAGTAGCACCAAGCTTGAGAGATCCATCCCATATCTTCCTAAGAATTTTTTCGGAATTCCCTATTAAGAAAAATCCAAAAGTTTTAGGTCCAAGACTCGAATTCATCAAAATTAGATCGAAAGAACAGGGAAAAAAGGAAGAGCAATGAGAAAATTTTAAATTCTGCAACATGGCGATGAAAGATCGGTTTGCACACAAGCACGGCGTCACCGGGCAAGTAAGGTTCGAGTTCTAGTTATAGTTGCTTCATTTGACGAGAGTAAAGCTAGAGAGACCCAACACCTTTGTCCACACTATCCTTAGCCAATCCTCAATCCCAAGTAAAAGAACTGATTTTTATTTAGAATAGTTCAAGCTAAACACTTTTTTCTTCAGAGTTCTCGTTGTTTCTTTCTTTTCGCAAGAATCAAAAGGTTTATTCAAAGCTAAACGCATAGAAAGATCTCCAGATTGAATATACACAGCACTAGGGCGACAGCTCTAAAACATGACTGAAACTCTCGTGACACCGGAGCTGCATCATATGATTCAGACAGTGAAAATGCGGAACTTACGAGCTTCCCAGATTCGAGGGTGTCGGAGAGAATGATCTTGAAGAAGTGAGGACTCTCAAGACGAGGCCCAGTCGCCATATCTGGGTCGACACCTCCATCTTCTCTCCGGCGACGGCGACCGCAAGCCATGTACGGTAGTGTCACAGGGGTCACTGGAGGCGGAGGAGGAGGCGGTGGAGGCGGCGGTTCGTGCGATTTGGCTTTGTGCTCTTGAGACAATTATCTTATAAAAGAACCTTACCATCACTAATAATGCCATTGATAATTTGATACAACTTTATAATATTTATGTCCTAAAAAGGCACAAATTTCTGTTCTACAAACAAAAAAGTCCAAACATCAGTACATATGAAAGAGGCACATGAATTTATATTTTAACAAGATACAGTTATCGTTACTTTATTTTCACGAACCGGAAATTCTCTAGTCGATTTTTGGAAATTGGTAAGTTATAAACATGAATATCACGCGTTTATTTTCAAGTAAATTGACATACGAAAAATTTTCATATTTGTAACCCTTGATCAGAAGGCGTGATTGACGGACTTCCTCCGGCTAGAAATGAAGGAAAACGTGACCTTGAGACGACAGGACAAGGCACTCTTCGGGGCCTACTTTTGTTATCCAAGCTATAGATGACATGAGCAAAAGATCATTTCAGTAATGCTCCATAAAGTCTTAAGTGTTCCCCTGTTTCTCTTCTAACCCATAAGTGAAGATGTTCAGAAATGTTCTGGTTCGAGTAGGTCATTTCGTGACATTTTGTTAGGAACTTTTTTCCCGCGATTAAGGTTATTAAGCTCATTAGATAACTCTAATTAGTTTTGATTTAAAAGATTCAATTAAGCTAAAAATTGACTCATCTAACACGTATAAAAGAGACTGCTTAATTCATTTCATGGAAAAAATAATTTATGATAATTAGAATCTTTTCAACTAGAGGGTGAGTACGTATCAATTAGGGTCGCGATTCAATATTTGGAGAGAAGCTATAGATATTTAGGGTGCGCATGGAATGCATTTCGGAATAAAAATTCTGTTCCGGAATGCATTCCAGAACAGAATGGCGTTTGTTAAAAAATTTCCGGAATGCATTCTGGAGTGATTTTTACATTCTGGAATAAAAATGCGTTTGTTCAAATACTTGATTCCAAAATGCATTCTTGATTCCAGAATGCATTTTTGATTCCGGAATGAGTTTTTGGCAAGAAAAAGAGAAGCTACTTTTTGTAGCTTGCGATTCCGAATGCATTCTCCCTATTTTCTCACAAATTTTTTTTTCAGAAAATGCATAAAAATTGAAAAATTCTAGAAAAATTCATAAAAATTTCCAGAAAATAAAAAAAAGTCAGATTTCGGGAAAATATGAAATTTGGTGAATTTTTTTTTAAAAATAAAAAAAAATCAAAAATTTCAAAACTTCACAGAATAGCTTAAAACACATGTGGCCACCCACTTTGAGTGAAATTTAAATTTTTTGAGATGCCCAAAAAAATTAAAAATTTTAAAACTTCACAAATGGCAAAATCACAATTTTGAGTGAAATTTAAATTTTTGAGTTGCCAAAAAAATAAAAATAATAAAATAATAAAATTTTCAAACTTAAAAATGGCTTAAAATACGGTCACCACTTTGAGTGAAATTTAAATTTTTTAGGTGCCCAAAAAAATAAAAAAAAATAAAAAATTTCAAAACTTCACAGAATGGCTTAGAATATCTGTAGCCACCCACTTTGAGTAAAATTTAAATTTTTTGAGGTGCCCAAAAAAATAAAAAAAAATAAAAAAATTCAAAACTTCACAAAATGGCTTAGAATACCTGTGGCCACCCACTTTGAGTGAAATTTAAATTTTTTTAGGTGCCCAAAAAAATTTAAAAAAATCAAAAATTTCAAAATTTTACAGAATGGCTTATAATACATATGGCCACCCACTTTGAGTAAAATTTTAATTTTTTTAGGTTCAAAAAATATCAACAAATCAAAACAGATTTCTGGAGCAGAATTAGTCATGTTTTATCAAACAGATTTCTCCTCCAGAAATCAATTTCTGGCAAGAATTTGATTTCTGGAGCAGAATGGTTACCATTCGCACCTTTAGCAATTGCCAAACTTTTTCTTTCTATTTAACACTTGAGATTGTTAACACTTAAAAATAAGCTCTTAAGTTTTGGGCACCAACTTCTCAATTTTGTCGGATAGGCGTAATTGTACATAATCGGCACATCCATGTGGATCGAATAAGGCTCCTCCGATAGCGTGGTGGCGTGGCCTACTATTTGAGATTACTTTGAATTGGAAACATGATCTGATCAAGAATCAGACACGGACAATCAAGCACTTACCCATGCAACTTTCTCGATTTTTTTTTCATTTAGCCATAAAACAATATAAATATACTGTTAAAAGGCGAGGAATGCAAAAAGTTAACGCATGGACTCTTTGGTCAAACACAAGAGGTTAAGAACGTACATATGAACCCTTGAGGTCAGTTGAGCAACCAGAAACCTTAAAGAAACGCCAAGTCTGAGGGATTCTTCCCAAAATATGGAACTATAGAACCGAAACTTCCACCAAAAAACAAGAAACGTGAACAAAAAAGGAGTCTCCTTTTCATCGATTCGCCGTTGCTGGATGAAGGAGGTATAATTTGGCATCCCAGATTTATATCATGCTGCGAACAGCATTATCTGAAGATGGAGACTTTGAACACATTATCTACCATATCAATGAGCTCAAACGCGCAGGCATTTCCGACACGCAATTGAGTTTCTCTTGCAAATGCAGTCCAACCAGCAGAGAAGGACGCTCCCTTTCTATTCTTAAATCTTAAGAGCTTCACAGGCCACGATCTGTCTGAATACCAAAGAGTTGCCGTTCCCTTGTTTTCTTGAATATGTTGCCTGATGAATCGATCGGGAACACTCTGCAAATGCGTACATGTTTGAACAACCAATCTATGCTGAAAGAAGGACGATGATGTAAGCATACACTCTTGGAAAAAATGCACCCAGGGCCATATTTGCGAGTTTCAAGAGCTTTAATCGACCGTCTTAAGAGGCTCATTAAATCCGTCGATCTTAACCAACAATGTAATGCATTTTCAAACAACTGACTGCCCATCAATTGCCATTTTAGGTTAGTAGTTGATTCAAGTGACCGTCCATCCTTTATATTGGATAGGGATGGAGCAGCTTGCCAAGGATATCCAAGTGAATGGATAGTCCCGACCTAATTACCATCTTTCACTTGTGTTTTTCTTACTCCTCTTTTTCCCGACTCCGTGTTACTCCACCATTGGGATGCGACATGATCACTCGAAGAAAAATATCATGTCATATGGTTTCCAATAGAAACCAAATCAACCAGGGAAAACACAATATTGAGGCAAGATTCAGATAGCAATCGTAATCGAAATTGAGATGTGGCAATGATGGATTAGGCTCAAAGATTGTACCAGTTTTTTCAAATGACCCTGCCGTATCACCAGTTTGAAGAAAGGATGCTCCGAATCAAATTGTCTGGCTAATTCAGGAGTAGCGAGAGGCCTCAGAGGAGTAGGATCACGAAATACCGGCTCAAGATGGTTCACTCTGCATTTAGACAGTTTGTACCTGCCTGGAGTTAAAATGAGAAATTGAAGAGATATTATTGGAGTGAAAGTTTCTTTAATTGACTATATAAATCTTTAGCATAGAACTCATGTCATGCCATAACTAGCCTAAGGTTTCACTTCACACAACGTAGATCAAGTACCTACCTGCACTACTGAAAATGTAGACTCTGAACACAACATCATCCCTATCAATTAGCTCGAACACGCAGACATTTCCTACATTCAAGCGAGTTCCTCTCACAAATGCATCCCAACCAGAAGAGAAAAAATCGCCCCATAGACTGAATGTGGATAGCTCCTAAGCTTCACTGGCCACGATCTGTCTGAATGCCTGAGAGTTGCGAATTCCTTGATTTCTAGAATGTGCTGCATGATGAACCTACGAGGAACGTACTGCCCATGCACATGTTTGAACAACCCACGCTTGGTAAAGAAAGAACCCAGCAAGCAAAATGTAAATTGATACGGTAGTTTCAATAACTCTAATCAACAGACTTAGCAGGACAAAAGTCAAAATGTCAAAGTGTCTGCTCATAGAACTAGCATGAGATAGAAGAAAAAAAATAGAAAAAAAAGAGCTAGCATGAGGGGTCGAGAATCTTTGCCCTTTTAAACAAATAGCGATGAACATATCCAAGGAATATGCTATGTAGCTTCCTACAGAAATCCAATCAGCTTAAGAAAAAAGCCAGAATATTAATGATTTAAGCTCTCGATCTTACCACTTTATTCTTAATATAAGATGGCCGCATCACCACCTTGAAAAAAGGATACTCTGAGTCAAATTCGCTAGCCAATTCAAAACTAGAGAGAGGCCATGGACTCAAAGAACCACCAAAAACCGGCTTAGAATGGCTAGCTCTGCTTCTAGACTGTCCGACCCCGTCTGTTCTTTAAAAAAAATGAAATATTTAGATTATGCCAATTTGAACTTTTCATTAGTTGATTTACTTACCATGAACATATTTAGTGCAGAATGGAAGAAATTACCGTCATGGAAATCAAGATTTAGATAAGTTGACCAAATGAAAAATTTGCTTCTCTTCACCTTAGAAGTTGTAACTACTTAACCACAATAAGAATGATTGAAATCATTCTGTTATCAGTCAACATAAACAAGCTTATCAAAAAGTTCTCAAGTACTTGAAAAAGAACTAACAAAGGAGAGCGCTGTAAGAAGAAACATGACTCATAAAATGACGAGTCGCACCTTCGAGATCTTGTGATGAGCAGCTTGGACTCGGCTGAGAACACGGTGAATGTGGTTCGACCCTCATTTTTTGACGAGAAGCAAAATCCTCCGAATCTTCAACTTCTATGATATCCTGCCTCTTTGGTGAGATAAATCCACTCCTGAGGTTCGATATGCTGCTCGACGAATAATCGATCTCCGAAGCACTCTTATCGAATACTATCACGCGAAAAGCGGAGTTCCCTTCATATTTGAAAACTACGAGGTGACCGTGACCAATGGAGTAATGCTGCATAAATTCTCGCCACCCTTTCCACAACCAAACCGTGCCATTGTTACCCTTTTCTACTCCTATAGTCCAGGTCGAACTGCCCGGAACCTTGAGTAGCACCAAGCTTGAGAGATCCATTCCATATCTTCCTAAGAATTTTTTCGGAATTCCC